TCTCTTTAAGTTATTTAGGTGGTGCTGGGGCTGCTGGGGCTGCTGGGGCTGCTGGGGGCCTGATAGAAGACACAAACACGCAGCGGGGGGCCTGTACCCAGCAGCCCCAAGGCCCACCACCTTGGTGCTGGGGCTGCTGGGGCTCTGATCAAAGACTCACAGCTCCAAGCTCCGTCATCAAGGTGCTAGGGCTGCTGGGGGTATCAGAGACACAAACCTGCAGGCTCGGCACCCAGCAGACCCAAGGCCTTCGTGGCAGCACTAAGGAGCAGCAAGCCGAGCGTAGGAAGCAGCAAGCAGGTGGGCAGTAACGAGGGAGGGGTCCCGGGACTGCAAGAGGGCACATGCTGGGCTAAGGGACTCCTACCATCCCAGTGCACGAATTGCATGCACTGGGCCTCTAGTATACAGTATATAAAAGCTAAGCGACCACCCAATCGTTGCCCAGTAGCTATGACATGCAATAACCACCAGGGGGCAGACACTCCGACCAGTAGAGAATGGAGCCTGATTCCTCGAGAATCGGCCATGGGTTAGGTTGCTGCTGGAGCACTGTTGGCCCTGAATCTGCTTCACCCGCACCCTGGACCCAGAGAGGTCTCTCGGCCTGGCCTGCGGGGATCGGGCCTAAATTGGATCTGACATTCCCCGAGGGGTCCCGGATTGCAAGAGGGTGCAGGCCAGGCCAAGGGACCCCACTGATGCACAAATCCATGCACCAGGCCTTTAGTGTGGTTATAAAGATGGTGATCGTTCCTAATTCTCCCAAATGATTAGTCTTTTTCGTAGGACTCATCTTCATCATGTCATATTTTGAATGTTTTTAAAGATATGGCAGGAGTTTAAAGTTATTGACTATACTAACGTTTCTATGAATGTTATTATCAACTAGGGTCCTGGTGCACGAAATTCGTGCACTGGGGGGGGATGGGTCCCTCAGCCCAGCCTGCCCCCTCTTACATGCTGGGAACCCTCAGGGGATGTCCTACTGACGGCTTAGGCCCGTTCCCTGCTCCCCTTGGGGAGTGGGCCTAAGCCGCAGTCTGGCCGCCCTTTGTGGGAGGCGACCAGACTGATCAGGGGAAGGCACCAGCCCCATCATCGTGTTTGTTAAAACGACTGCCAGTCACCGCAGCCACCAAGGTGTTTTCATCAACACAGACTCCAGTCCCTTCACCATGAAAAAATGACAGCTTTCTTTAGGCATTTTCAAGATGTGTCTTTCATAGGATATGACATTTCTTTCCTTTTTTTTTATCCTCACCCGAGGATATGTTTCCATTGATTTTTAGAGAATGTGGAAGAGAAAGGGAAAGTCAGAGAGAAACTCAAAATGAGAGGGACACTTTGATTGGTTGCCTCCTGCATGAGCCCTGACCTGGGCCCCAGCCAGGGAGGAGCCTGCAACCTAGGTACATGCCCTTGGTCAGAATTGAACCCAGACCCTGCCATCGGCAG